ACAAAGAAGAATAATCCAGAGAAACCAAATGTCCGAATATACAAGAAAAAAAAAACCCAAATCTACACGTAGCTCCTCTTATCCTTCACAGATGGTACAGAACGTCCGCAACCAAGGAGCAGAGCAGAATACAAGATTGCCAGGCAGTCAATCCCATAAGCCGCGAGACTGAACTGTTAATAGCCGTGGCAAACACAGTGCCAGGTATGTTTGAACTTGCGATGCTGACCTTGATTAGCGCAGAGTTCAAAAACTCGTCAATTTTCTACGAGGCTGACGGCCCAACAGCTGGACGCAAGACATTAATAAGAGAGGGTGATAGTCTTCTAGCGAAACTTTTGGCTGGAGTCCGAAATACAGGAAGACCACCCTTTGAAGTATCTTACCACGTAGAAGCAACAGGAACTCCAACAGTTGACTGAGCAGCAGGTCGCTGATCGTCCATCTCATTGTTCGAGCCACGTTCCAAGTTGGCGTCCTGCACCGGCTCATCAGATCCAGAATCAGAGTCTTTATCCGTGGTATGGCCCTCATAGTGGTCTAGGTCATACTTCTTGATGAGTTGCAATTGAAGCTCCTTCAACCCCTCGTCCTTGCTGAAATGGGACCTTAGCGACGCGACACTTCTCTCTCCAATAATCTCGCTCTTGGTAGCAGCCTTCCCGTTGAAGAGCCTCTCCGCAACTGTTATTTTCGTCCTCTTGAACATCTTATTGTGCTTTTTAGCCAGCTTTTGCCAATCCTTGCCACTCAAAGCGGTGTCAGTATTCTTGATCATCTTCTCGAGCATTATCTCGATGAATTCCTTCTCCACGTGGTACCACCTGGCTTGGGGGTTACCCTGCGGTCGGGGGGCAGTGCCGGCGTTGTCATATTCGAAGTAGTTGTTGAAGTTCTTCGTTCTCCACGCGTTCCACTTGGAAATCGAGGTTTTCTTGCCCTAGTCGAAGTTGGCGCGGCCAGGATACTTGAACGCGTGCCACTTTCCACTGTTCAGCTTGATGCGAACCGCAGCTTGTCTGGCTCGGGCTTGCGAACCTCGGCCTTCCTCTCGTCGAGTGTTTTCTGGTCCGAACACAAGGCGGGCACTCTTCGGGTCTTTCCAGTGGTTTTGTGCTGGGGGTTTGGTTTACCCGTTGCAGCTGAAGTCTTTCTAGTACCAGGAGGAGCGGCTTGTTGACAAGAGGCATCGACCATGATGGTTAAGCTATCATCGGACCCAGTAGCTTGAGCTAGACATATGTTGGCAATAATCACCATTGGAAAGAGCGGGGTCGAACTTACAAGCCTGGATAGTAGGGATGGTTGATACCGAGCTTGGGGTAGCAGAAGCTTTGATTCCAGAGGTGCTAGATAGTGAAGTACAACCCTTGACAGACTCAGAAGAGAAGAGTCCCGGATCGATGCTTGAATAATCAAGATCTTGTCGACGCCGCTATCATTATCCATATTTCTCTTCTCATTCTCTCGCCTCTTGCCCATGAAACTCTTACCAAGTCTTCCACCTGAAATATTCATTAATATTCGCTTTGCTTGCTAACAGAGTCCCTTCGTGAAGTCGGCGCGGCGCGTCGAAGAAAGCGGGAGGAAACTTTTGTTGGCCGTAAATTCCTAGAAACTGTTGTATCACGAGCTTCTGAGTCGTGGGCAAAATCGATGCGGTGCAGAATTTTCGGACGTTGCGTTGCAAGATCGAGTCGTTATTTTGAGAAGGACACGGAGAAAGGAATAGCCAAGTCGGAAGGTGGAGCATCGGTGAATAGCCGAAAACGATTAGCGCTAAAAAGGCTGCAACAAATGAGGCTGGTAAGAGAATTCATGTGGAATTCCAGCCGCTAAAAACGCTTGCGATACAGGTGTTGGTGAATCAGAGGGTAGGAAGTGAAGAGCAGGAAAGCTTTGAAGGGTAGCACCTTGGAGAAGTTTCTAGTGGCGAGGCAGGCGAAGGAGTTTGTATTTACGTTGTCGACGTATTTTAAAAGTCTTGACATCAGAAGCAAAATAAACACCTTTGCACTAGCATTATCAGGGTTTTGTTCAATATATATGGCCTATAGAGCACATCTTCGTCTTCATATTCTCAAACTCAAGCAATAGAGGCCCGCTCCTAAACCTTCAAAATATCACATGAAACTGTAATTCTTGAAAAGAATATTGCACTTCTCGCTATCTACATGAGCATCCATCGGGGGGCTACGATTCTTTATCTGTACGAGGTGCCCCTTACGAACCTTCAGCTCTTTTTCTTTCTTTCTCCTGCGGTAGAAAGAGAGATAAAGAGTCTGGAGAGCCGAAATTGAATCATCGACATGCGACGTCTCCTCGAAGAGATTTTCCTTTACCGGCGATTCCGAACCTCCCTCCTCCTTCTTCT